CAACCCCCTGCACCATGCAGGAAATACACAAATACCTCCCCCTCCACACCTGCAGTGACCGCTGTTCCACGCCCAGAAGATGACAAAAACCCTCCAGGATCCCTGGCCAAACTGGCCTGGAGAAAAATTGCTTCCTGACCCCAAAGTGGCCATCACTTTAAGAGCTCTTTTACCATTTTCCCATCTGGCCAAGGCAGGTGGCCCAGGATTACCCTTGTGTGGGTAACCGGATTGGATGGGAGACCACCCAGGTAAGTCCAGAGGCACTCTGCAGACCCTGGGAGGTGTCTCTTGCCTTGAAAACCCCTTGAGGGAGTTGCCATTAGTCTGTTGCGGCTTGACAGCACTTTACAGACACAAGTCTGGCCAAGGGGGGTTCATTTTCCCCTTTAAGAGAAGTGGCAGCTTGATAGCTCAGGCTAGCCCCATCCTGCCAGAACTTGGAAGCTAAGCAGGGTTGGCCATGGTTAGTACTTGGATGGGAGACCTCCGAGGAAGTCCAGGGGTTGCTATGCCGGAGAAGGCAATGGCAAACCATCTCTGCTCACCTCTTGCCTTGAGGACCCCATGGCTCTGGAGTCACCATGAAAGTCACCCTGGTGGCCAACTTGACCGCAGGCAATTAAGAAGGAAGTATGTGGGAGAGTGGCTCCGACCCGAATAGCCCAGGCTAGCTGGATCTCATCAGATCTCGGGAGCTAAGGAGAGTTGGCCCTCGTCAGTATTTGGAAGGGAGACCACCAAGGAATACCAGGGTTGTGACACTGAGGCGGGCAATGGCAAGCCACCACTGGACGTCTCTTGCCTTGAAAACCCCACCAGGGGTCGCCATAAGTCACCTGTGAATTTATGGCAAAGGGGGGGGGCTGCCAAGGATGTATTCAGAGAGCTAAGTGTGTTTGAGGATGAAGAAGAAGAGATTGGATTTATACCCTGCCCTTCACTCGGGAGTCTCAGAGTGGCTTACAAACTCCTTTCCCTTCTCCTCTTTCATTAAGCTCTGGCATCTCCACTGAAGAAGAAGACGAAGAAGAGGAAGAGGAAGAAGAAGAGGAAGAAGAAGAGGAGGAGGAGGAGATTGGATTTATACCCTGCCCTTCACTCGGAGTCTCAGAGCGGCTTACAAACTCCTTTCCCTTCCCCTCCCCACAACAGACACCCTGTGAGGTAGGTGGGGCTGAGAGAGCTCTCTCTCGAGAACTGCCCTTGAGAGAACAGCTCTGAAAGAACTTGTGACTGACCCAAGGTCACACCAGCAGCTGCGACTGGAGGAGTGGGGAATCAAACCCGGTTCTCCCAGATTAGAGTCCGCACATTTAACCACTATGCCAAACAGCGTTAATAATGGGATCGGTGCTAAAATCATTTTATAATATTTCTTGGGGTCACTAGAAACCCCAGATATGATCATGCACAGTACTTTCAATTTGAAGCCAAGCCTATTGCAGGCCAGAATGACTCCCTTTTCCCTTTTGATAAACCTCAAACTTAAAAAATATAGGCAGTGGGGAGGGAAGAGAGGGACTTCAGGGCACCCGAGTTCATTGGGGAGAAAGCATAACAGGAGTTTGGTGTCTGTAGAAAGCTTTAGATGGGTAAACCAATTTTTTCCATGACTTCTGGCGGCCAAAATATCCCCAGTGTTAAAGGGTTAAAGAAGAGAAGAAGAGATTGGATTTATACCCCACCCTTCACTACACGAAGGAGTCTCAGAGCGGCTTACACTTCCTTTCCCTCCCCCTCCCCGCAACAGACACCCTGGGAGGTAGCTGAGGCTGAGAGAGCTCTCTCGAGGACTGCCCTTGAGAGAACAGCTCTGAAAGAACTTATGACTGACCCAAGGTCACACCAGCAGACACGTGTGGAGGAGTGGGGGATCAAACCCTCCAATATTGGAGTCCGCGCTCCTAACCACTACACCAAACCTGAATTCCCTTTTAAGATCCTTCCAAACCTAGACGACAATCCCACTGCCCCCCAGCCCACGTGGCATTTACGTATACCAGAACAGAGCGACCGGTTCGCCTCCATTTCTCCCTGCTCCAGTATTTTCCCTACCAGGGAAAACAAGATCGCCACCCGCGCTCTGGAATATTACTGACAAAATCCCCAGGAGGGGAGGATCAGACCCAGAGAGGCGTATTTATTTAAGATGCTGAATCCTCAGGTAATTTAATAGCGGGGTCAGGTGCTACATAAGGGCTCCTCTAACAAATATTTATTTTGGTTAGAGAGTTAAAAAGCAAAACCCGACCAATGCTGAACAGGACGGGGGGACCCGGTCAAAGCCTATCACACACGCCGCAGCTATCAAAATAAATTCTCCGGCCTCCGAAGATCTATTTTAACTACTGCCCGGATTGTCCCCCCCCCCCGCCCTGTTATCAAGCTGAGTGTTATTAAGATGCAAATCGTGTATTTACAATGTATCAAGTTATACGGGGAGGATTTTGTCTTATGGGTCACAATAAACTAAAGTGATTAAACTCTGATTCAACTCCCCAGCTCTCGGCACCGAGGCTCCGGTGAATCATTCCAGGAATAGCCAGCCTGTAAAATAACACCGGCGTATTTATAAAGGAACTGTTAGCTCATCTGTTACTCTGTGTCCTCTAGGAAACCAAAACAACAATATAGGTTGTGAATGTATATATGTATAAAGCGAGTAGGCAGCTTTGACTCACTGGGGTTTAGAATGAAGCCCGGAGACACAACTCGGAATAAGGGGATTGAGCTAGGAAGAAACCGGGGGGGGGGGGGGGAGCGCTTATGGTGCCGTGTATGAAAATAGCAGAGATCTCTTCCTTGGACTAAGACGTTTGCTTGCTGCTGCCGGAAAGTGCCGTCGAGTCGCAGCCGACTTGCGGCGACCGCTCCGTGGGGTCTTCAAGGCAAGAGAGGAGCAGAGGTGGCTTGCCGTTGCCTGTCTCTGAGCAGAGACCCTGGACTTCCCTGGTGGTCTCCCATCCAAGTACTGAACAGGGCTGACCCTGCTGAGCTTCTGAGATGGGAGGAGATTTGGGCTAGCCTGGGCCACCCAGGTCAGGGCAGAGGTTTTGCTAGCTTTACGAAAATGATCTGGGCTTCCCTCAAAAAACAATCACTCACTCAATCAATCAATCTATCACTCTCTCTCTCTATCATCTATCCATCTATCATAGCTCTATCATAGCTCTATCATCTCTCTCTTCTATCTATCTATCTATCTATCTATCTATCTATCTATCTATCTATCTATCTATCTATCTATCTATCTATCTACTCTCTCTCATCTATACATCCATCTATCATCTATCATCTATCCATCCATCCATCCATGCATCCATGCATCCATCTCTCTCTCATCTATATATCCATCTATCATAGATCTATCATCTCTCTCACTTTCTATTATCTATCTATCTATCTATCTATCTATCTATCTATCTATCTACTCTCTCTCATCTATACATCCATCTATCATCTATCCATCCATCCATCCATCCATGCATCCATGCATCCATCTCTCTCTCATCTATATATCCATCTATCATAGATCTATCATCTCTCTCACTTTCTATTATCTATCTATCTATCTATCTATCTATCTATCTATCTATCTATCTACTCTCTCTCACTCTCTCATCTATATATCCATCTATCATCTATCCATCACCTACCCATCCATCATCCATCCATCTCTCTCTCATGTATATATCCATCTATCATCTCTCTCTCTTTCTCTCGCTCTCTATTATCTATCTATCATCTATCTATCATATATCCATCACCCATCCATCCATCCATCCATCCATCATCCTGTCTGTCTATCTATCATCTGTCTGTCTGTCTATCTGTCTGTCTATCTATCTATCTTATTGGATTTCTAGTTCACTCGGGGTGGATTACAACAGTAATTATAAACAATATTTATACAATAGTTTGAACAGTTAAAAACATAATACAATTAATAAAAGCTACAGCAAACAAGATGGCGATCAAACACAATTTATAGATCTCTGAGAACTACCTGTATGGGTGCTTGAAGTAGACCAAATCCTGAGCAAACGGGCCACAACAAGTAGTTAATTTTTAGTTATTTTTTTTAACATCTGCACCGTGAAGAGGAGGAGGAGGAGGAGCAGGAGACTGGATTTATATCCCGCCCTTCACTTGGAGTCTCAGAGCGGCTTACAATCTCCTTCCCTTCCTCTCCCCACAACAGACACCTTGTATGGTAGGTGAGGCTGAGAGAGCTCTGAGAGAACTGCTCTTGAGAGAACACCTCTCAGAGAAATGTGGCTTGGCCAAGGTCACCCAGCAGCTGCATGTGGAGGAGTGGGGAATCAGACTCGGTTCTCCCAGATTAGACTCTGCGCTCTTCACCACTACACCAAACTGGCAAATCTCCAGTAGTCAATCAGAGACTCTGCTGGGCAAAAGCCATACCTGGCTCTACCCACTTCTTAGAAACTCTTGGTGGGCACCAGAAAAGGTTTGGTGGGCCCCATGGTGACCGTAGGTACCACAATGGGGGGCCTTGACATAGGAGGCCACATCTCTCACCATGCGAGTATCTCTACCTGCTTACCTGTAGAACTGACACTGCACAGTAGGATGGAGGTATCCAGAGCAGGGAAGAAGGCAGAGCGGGCTGGATCCTACCAGCTCTTCTGCTGGCTCAAGAGGGCAAACTGGACCTCTCACACCTGACTTCCCTACTCAGTGCAGCCCCATCCCACGTGGCTCCCCCCCCCCGCAATCCTCAGCGTGGGCTTCGTGCGGGGCCAAACACTCCATCTCCTCTTGAGTTAGAGAGGAAAAGCGGATTAAGAACCCAGCCCAGTAAATTTATAAAGGAGGCCAAGTTTGAGAAAGTTTGGGAAAGACTGCCCTCAACGTTCGCTCACTGCTGTCTTCCTACACACCGGATGACAAGCACAGCAAGCCGAGGGGCCTTCCTGGACCCTTCGCATATGCAAAGAAGGACAGATGATCTTGGACGTCTCCTCTCTGCTGCTTCAGCCCCCAAATCTCTGTTTTGGTTTTTCTCCTCCCTGGTACAAGTCAAACCTGCGGCCTTCGATTTTCACACTGTGGCTTCCACCAGCCAAACGTTTCCCATACAACAGGATGCATTTGTCAACATCGCGCTGTGAATCAGCACGACACGTACTGTGCAAATTCCATATTAACGAAAAAGAAAGACAGCGTGTGTCCACAATACAGATGAGTCTACGAAACCGGCAGTTAAGAGGAGAGAGCCAAAGCCCCTGACGGAAACATACAAAGACACAAAACTGGGAGTAGTCTGCAGGACGAGATGGACAAAAAACCTCTGTAGATTATTTAATTCCTTATTTTGCTTTAGGCATCTAAGGAGGCCCTCGGGCAAAGCTTTGGTGCGAGACCGAGCTATGCATGCTTCCTCCCTTAAATACAAATTGGTGGTTTTTACTACCAGTTTGGTGTAGTGGTTAGGGAGAACCGGGTTGTATTCCCCACTCTGCCACATGCAGCTGCTGGTGTGACCTTGGGTCAGTCACCAGATTTGGTCGTAGAGTCCTGCAACACGCTCTGTAGGTATCTGACAATGTTCCCTCCCTTGGGGCTAGCTTTTTAAAGTCCCAATAGTACGGACTGTCCCACTTAAGGTGAAGCTTCCTTTCTCGGTGGTTCAGGAGCGGGACAGTCCGGCCCACCCTGTTGGATAGTTGTCTGTGGCGTGCAGGGAAGGTTGCAGGACGTCGACCGGGGGAGTACCTTCTCGGTCATCCGTGTTCAGTGCACTGAGTGGGAAATTGTGTAAGTTTCTGTCTGTGAAATGGTTTTCGGTTGACAGTTCTAATTGAGTATTAAAAGCTGCTGTTTAAGTCTTCACGTGGAGTCTTTCTTTGTGGGAGAAGTGGTCTTCCTGTTCCTTCCCAGAGGAGGCGACGGCTCGTGTATGACCTGGGGAAGCTGTAGAAGATAAGCCCCGCCTCACAGGGATCAAAGGTCGGAGCCGACCCTGTAGGAAGGGGCGGAGCTTATCCCAATAGTACGGACTGTCCCGCTTTCCGAACCACTGGAGAATGGCTAGGTCAGAACCACATAAGAACATCAGAAGAGTCCCGGTGGATCAGACCAGTGAGGGTCCATCTTGTCCAGCCTCCTGTCCCACACAGTGCCCAACCAGTTCCTCTGGAGGGCCAGCAACAGGGCAGAGAGGCTGAGGCCTTCAAAAGAACATCAGAAGAGCTCTGCTGGATCAGACCGGTGGTCCATCTAGTCCAGCATCCTGTCTCACACAGTGGCCAACCAGTTCCTCTGGAGGGCCAACAACAGGGCAGAGGTTGAGGCCTTTATTAGAACATCAGAAGAGTCCTGGTGGATCAAACCAGTGATACATCTAGCCCAGCATCCTGTCTCACACAGTGGCCAACCAGTTCCTCTGGAGGGCCAACAACAGGGCAGAGACACTGAGAACTTCTGAGCAGAAGAAGAAGAGGAGGAGGAGGAGGAGGAGGAGGAGGAGGATGGATTTATACCCTGCCATTCACTTGGAATATCAGAGTGGCTTACAAACTCCTTTCCCTTCCCCTCCCCACAACAGACACCCTGTGAGGTCAGTGGGGCTGAGAGAGCTCTTTCGAGGACTGTCCTTGAGAGAACAGCTCTGACAGAACTATGGCTTGCCCAAGGTCATCCAGCAGCTGCAAGAGGAGGAGTGGGGAATCAAACCCGGTTCTCCCAGATTAGAGTCCGTGCACTTAACCACTACACCAAACAGCAGAAGAGCCCCACTGGATCAGACCCGTGGTCCGTCTAGCCCAGCATCCTGTCTCACACAGTGGCCAACCAGTTCCTCTGGAGGGCCAACAACAGGGCATAAGGGACTGAGGCCTTCCCATGATGTTGCCTCATGGCACTGCTATTCAGCGGTTTACTGCCTTTGAATGCAGAGGTTCCCTTTTGTCACCATGGCTAGAAGGCAAAACCTTAGACTTCAGAAGTCCTTCCAGGTCAGGAGAAGCCAATGGCGAGCCTTAGTGGGCGGAGTCAGGCCAGAGACTACGAGCAGTCCGCCATCTTGGGAGCATTCCACACAGGGCAAAGGCCCACAGGCAAGCGGCATTTTGCTTCTAGCCACAGTAGTTCCCGATAGGATATACGTATACATGTGGGAGTGTGATATACTCACTCTAAGTGTTTCTTTGCCTAATTCATTTTTAACAGTATGTTTTGACTGTTCAGAGGAGGAAAACCCACCCAAAGAGGCTATGTAACAACTGGAGGCCATTCTGTCTAAAGTAAAAGAGAGGGGGGGGGAACACCCTTCTTTTTTAATTAAATCTATTTCTTCCCACTAAATGGAACGTCAATGACAAATCTCATGCACCCTGCAAGAATGCTTTTTTTAAAGCCACCCATTTGCATGACAAAAGCCGCCTCGGAATTACTTAACCCCCCCCCCCCCCCCACTCTTTTTTTTTTCGATCAGGAGGTGTTGTTACTGAAGGATAGCAAGATACCCTTTTGTTTCTCGGTTAACTATAAAAGCCCGAGAGCTCGAGCTAAATCTGCTAACTTTACTTACCATCCTGGTTGCTAAGGGTGTCTCTTGCGCTTTCCGGCGGGCTCGATTCGGATTCTGGCTCAACGTCTCCTCTGGGGACCGGCTCGCCTTTGAGGACCAGCGGTTCAAGCAGGGCTAATAGAGATGTGCAGGGAGGCGAGACAGCAGCTTGGGGCTCCGGGCTTTCAGACGTGGCCGCCATCAAAGGGTAGCTAATATATTCAAATCCACTGTGGAAGGAAACAGGATTGGCACCGCATTCTGCACTGCTAGGTTTTAAAAGATCTCAGAATAACTTAGACCCCCAAACATGCTGCTGGGCATACAAAGAGGCGCTTTTCTGAGTCAGGCCACGGGTCCATCTAGACGTGTGACGTCCCCAGCAGCTAAGACGAAACGTGGAGCCCCACGGCTACCCACAGAGCACGTGGGTCACCACTAAGCTGCGGCCTCTCTTCAAGCTCCCAGGTTGGCCTTTTCCAACCCTTGCTGGCGATATCAGAACTGAACCTGGCGCTTCCTGCATAGGCTCTGCCTCTGCGCCAGGGATTGTGCCCTACGTGAACGAGTGAAATTGCCTGAAGTCCTACCAGACCACTGGCACGGAAGACCGTTTCTCCAGCTGGTAATGGTTCTCCAGAGTCTCAGGAAAGTGGTCCTTCCCAGCCTTTCTACCTGAGATTCTTTGGAGATACCCGGTGGTTGAACTGTCATGTGAAGCGTTCTTGAAGAGCGGGTCAATCAAGGATCATTAGTCAGCAGGGCTATTTCCGGGCAGGAACGCACAGGAACGGCGTTCCGGCTGGCTTCAGAGTTGGCCATGCCCACTACAGCCAAAACCTCTGCGTGTGTGGCTACAGAGGGAAGGCCTGGAGAGCGACACCCCCCCCCACGACTCTGAGGCGGGCGGGCCAGGGGGGGTCCTGGAAGGATCGGGGAGGCATTTTAATGCCTCCTCGTGCCTTCCCCGGCCTGTCCAAGGGCTGGCTTGCCCAGGCTCCCTGCAGCACGGGGGTGTGGCCTAATATGCTAATGAGCTGTGCTGTCGGGGGTGTGGCCTATTATGCTAATGAGTCCCTGCTGGGCTTTTTCTGCGGAAAAAGCCCTGTTAGTCAGAATGGCTAAATGGAAACCCCTCCCCGCCCCCAGTGCACTTCTGAACACCAGTTCCAGGGCAGGAGGGAAGGGACAGCAGGGGAAGGGTCTTCTTGCCCTGCCTGTGGGCTTCTGGGAGGCACCCGCTTGGCTGGGAAACAGGATACTAGAACAGTACTGAGTCAGGCCTAAGGTTAGGGTCGCCGGCTCTGGGCTGGGAGATGCCTGGAGATTTTGGAGGTGGAGCCGGGGGAGGGTGGCGTTTGGGGAGGGGAGGGTGCCTCAGTGCTGTACAGCCCACCTTCCAAAGTGGCCGTTTTCTCCGGAGGAACTGAACTCTGTTGCCTGGAGATCAAGTTGTTATAAGCGGGAGATCTGCAGCTACCGCCTGGAGGTTGGCAATCCTACATAAGGTGTATGTAGTGGAGCCTTCGTATGCCCTTACGGCACCACCCTGCTTAGAATGCATGGAAATTGCAACATACGGCCTCTATAAAATGCAATCTCTCTGGTTCACTCTCTCTCTCTGGAATATAGATTCAGGTGGGTAGCTGTGTTGGTCTGAAGCAGCAGAGCAAGGTTTGAGTCCAGTGGCACCTTTAGAGCCAGTTTGGTGTAGTGGTTAGGAGCACAGACTCCGATTTGGTAGAACTGGGTTTGATTCTCCACTGCCCTACATGCAGCTGCTGGTGTGACCTTGGGCCAGTCACAAGCTCTCTCAGAGCTGTTCTCTCAGGAGCAGTTCTCAAGAGAGCTCTCTAAGCCCCACCTACCTCACAGGATGTCTGTTGTGGGGAGGGGAAGGGAAAGGAGATTGTAAGCCATTCTGAGACTCTGAGTGAAGGACAGAGTATAAATCCAGCTCTTCTTCTCCTTCTTCTTGCTTGTTGTGAGGTTAAAATGAAGGAGGGGAGAACAATGTAAGCGGCTTTGGATCACCAGTTTGGTGTAGTGGTTAGCAGTGCGGACTCTAATCTTGGAGAACCAGGTTTGATTCCCCACTCCTCCATATGCAGCTGCTGGTGTGACCTTGGGTCAGTCACAAGTTCTTTCAGAGCTGTTCTCTCATGAGCAGTTCTCAAGAGAGCTCTCTCAGCCCCACCTACCTCACAGGGTGTCTGTGGTGGGGAGGGGAAGGGAAAGGAGATGGTAAGCCGCTCCGATACTCCTTTGGGTTGTGAAGGGTGGGGTATAAATCCAATCCTTCTTCTTCAGACCAACCAAGTTTTATTCAAGGTATAAGCTTTTGTGTGCAAGCACACTTCCTCGGATACGTATCTGAGAAAGTGTGCTTACACACGAAAGCTTATACATTAAGCAAAACGTCTCTGCAATATGTCTACCAGATTTTGTCTCCAAGGCAAGAGGCCCTAATGGTATCCATGGGGGTCGCTGGAATGAGCCATTTCTTTTTTTTTTGGAGGGGGTGTCTCGGTGACCTGCTATGTGAGGCGAGGATTTTGACAAGCCTTGTTGAATTCCCCCCAGGTGGCTGCATATGAAAACAAAATTCCTTCTTTTCGTTTGAATGGCATAAGCTACTTACTGGTCTTTAGCACAGCTTTTTTTCAGAAGTGCATCCACGTGAAGGTGCCTTATGCTGAATCAGGGTCTATCAAGGTCGTTTTTGTCTACTCGGACCGGCTGCGGCTCTCCAGGGTCTCAAGCAGAGAGGTCTTTCGCATCACCCACTGATCCCTTTAACTGGAGGTGCCAAGGATTGAATCCGGGACCTTCCGCATGCCAAGCAGATGCTCTACCACTGAGCCGTGGCCCCATTCCAAGTTGACGGCCTGCTGTTATTCTTGGAGGAATCTGGGAAACAGCCGGGGGGGGGGGGGGGGGGGGCTTCTCTGAGGCGGAACAGCATAAGGGTCCTCACAGGTTAGCAAGCCTTCTTAAGAGCCTGATGTTAACGTGATTTACAGAATTGGGACAGCAACAGTAAAAACGTCATTCATGCATTTTGAGCAAAACCAGAGACCAAGCTAAGGAAGGTGGTCCTGAGCACCCGAGTTGTGCCAACCAGGATTCCAGACACTAATTTGGAGGAAGAGGCTGTGGCTCTGTGGTAAGGGCGTCTGATTGGCAGCTGGAAGGTCCCAGGTTCAATCCCCGGCATCTCTAGTTCAAAAGGACCAGGCAGTAGGTGCACAAAGGTAAAAAGGTAAAGGGTTCTCTTGCTCGAAAGCCAGTCGAATCCGACTCTAGGGTTGCGGTGCCCATCTCCGTTTCCAAGCCGAAGAGCCAGCGCTGTCCGCAGACATTTCCGTGGTCATGTGGCCGGCATGACTAAACACCAAGGCGCACGGAACGCGGTTACCTTCCCACCGAAGTGGTCCCTATTTATCTACTTGCAATTTCTTGCTTTCGAACTGCTAGGTTGGCAGGAGCTGGAACTAGAGATGGGAGCTCACTCCATCATGCGGCACCTGGGTCTCGAACTGCTGAACTACTGACCTTCCACAGCCTGCAGTTCAGCGTCTTAACCACTTGAGCCACCGCAGCTCAGGTGCACAAAAGAGGTCCTTAAAGATAGTCGTTGACGAAGCTCTCCAGATTATGGCTTCGTTTCACTGACACTTCATCCGAACGGGACCATAATATCAACGTGATGTCTTCTATTCTTTGAACATCGTAGAACGTTTAAACATTAACCATGGTTTCCTCTACAGCAATTCCTCCTTACAGCAGTTTCCTATTGTACATACTAGTATGTTTAAACATTCTAAACCCATAATCTGGAGAGCTTCGTCAACACCTGTCTTTAAGGACCTCTTTTGTGCACCTTGTAGTTACCAACATACACACTGTTGCAAAAAGAATATACTGTTGTTGACTGTTTTTGTTTCATAGATGTAGCGCCTGTTTACAGTTTTCTTCCTGAACGTGGAGGCGGCATTCAGTTATCGTGGCTAATGGCCACGGATTCATCCTCCGTGACCCTCATGAAAGCCAACCAGACTAGGTGATGATGTGATGTCTCTGTTGCCTGGGAGAATATGTCTCAGCTGGTTGCGAGGCCTAGCGCCTGGGTTTGTCTGTTATGTAAGCCACTACACGTGTAGTGGCTTCAGAGCTGGGGAGCCCTGGGTTCAAATCCCCACTCACCTGTGAGGCTTCTTAGGCAGGGGTCCCCAACCTTTTTTGAGTGTGGTGAGAGCAGCCACAAAATGGCTGCACGGGGGGTGGAGCTGGCCGTACAATGGCTGCCACAGCATATGTTTGGTCACACCATGAAATCCTTGCGCTGTGATGGCAGCTGATGCCAAAGCAACATTTTTTCAAAAATATGGAAGAGGAGGAGGAGGAGGAGATTGGATTTATACCCCGCCCTTCACTCGGAGTCTCAGAGTGGCTTACAAACTCCTTCCCCTTCCTCTCCCCACAACAGACAGCCTGTGAGGTCGGTGGGACTGAGAGAGCTCTTTTGAGGATTGTCCTTGAGAGAACAGCTCTTATCAGAACTATAACTTGCCCGAGGTCACCCCAGCAGTTGCAAGTGGGGGAGTGGGGAATCAAACCCGGTTCTCCCAGATTAACCATACTCCAAACTGGCTGGACAACCAGTCAAATATCCAAAGGCCAGAACGTTGGGGGAAAGGCCCACTTGGCCCTGCCCACTTCCTAAAAACGTTTCACGGGAGCCAGGAAAGTTGTCACTGGGCACCACGGCACCCGTGGGCACCACAGCAGAGACCCACGGTGACTTTGGCATAGCTGCCTGCCTACACTGACTCGCAGGGTTGTGATGAGGGTGATATGGAAGGAGGCGAGCCAGCCTGAGCTCCTTAGAGGAAGGGTGGTCTAAAAATGTCATAGATACGCAGGGCTGTCATTTCGGGGAGAAAAATCAGCCAAGGGCCGTGTTTGCTGCACAGAATTCCCTGGAGGAAAGGTGAGAGGAAATCTGAATTCTCCCGAGAGCCCTGCCCCTGCATGGGGTCTCCTGCCCCGGGCTGTTGTGCTTTACTCACTAAGACAAACCCAGTTGAGATGTTAAGGCTGGCGGAATGTGCCCAAGAGGACAGCCAACATGCATCAAGAGAGCACTTTGAGCCGTTCAGTACATTCCTCTTCCTTACGGGAGGAGTCCACGTGCTACTTACAAGGGGCTTTCTATCGGCTGCCTCCCTATTAGTTCCATTATCTTGTACAGGCTGTTTTTGGAACTCGCTAAAAGCTCCCCGTCTCTGATCCCGGCGCTGAGCTCCAGCAGTCGGCCACTCTCACCTATCAAAAAGGGCAGAAGAAATGGTTTGTTAATCGCTCCGCTCCGCAGTACTGCAAGGCATCCCCCAAATGAGATGCACGACCCCCTCCGCCCAACTAGAGATCCAGGAACGAATAGCCCAGATCATCCAAACAGCCAGCCTGAGCATCTGAAATAGTGTAAAGGCCAGCTCTCCACATGCAGAATGAATGAAGAAGAAGAGAAGAGATTGGATTTATACCCCACCCTTCACTACCCAAGGGAGTCTCAGAGCGGCTTACAAACTCCTTTCCCTTCCCCTCCCCACAACAGACACCCTGTGAGGTAGGTGGGGCTGAGAGAGCTCTTGACAGAAACTGCTCTTTTTTCTAGAACAGCTCTTATCAGAACTACGACTTGCCCAAGGTCATCCAGCCAGGTGCAAGTGGAGGAGTGGGGAATCAAACCCGGTTCTCCCAGATTAGAGTCCGCGCACTTAACCACTACACCAAACTGGCTCTCGAAGTTCTGCATGCAGGTCTCTGCGTGCAACGGAATAAAGTTAACACAGTCCTGAGGTGACAGAAAGGTCTGTAACAATTTAGGGTCTTCCCTAAAACAAAAACCAAGAACATAATGCCCTATAAGCAGAAGAATTGCATTCTAAGGGTTGCGTTGAAAGCCTTCTCCCTGATGGGCTAAATTTCTATTTGTGAAGAGTGTCTTTTTTAAATGTGGTAGGATGGAGCTGCGGTGGCTCAAGTGGTTAAGACGCTGAACTGCAGGCTGTGGAAGGTCGGTAGTTCAGCAGTTCGTACCCGGGTTGCCGCAAGACGGAGTGAGCTCCCATCTCTAGTTCCAGCTCCTGCCAACCTAGCAGTTCAAAAGTAAGAAATTGCAAGTAGATAAATAGGGACCACTTCGGTGGGAAGGTCACAGCATTCCGTGCGCCTTGGTGTTTAGTCATGCCGGCCACATGACCACGGAAACGTCTTCGCACAGCGCTGGCTCTTCGGCTTGGGAACGGAGATGAGCACCGCAACCCTAGAGTCGGATTCGACTGGCTTTCGAGCAAGGGAACCTTTACCTAGGATATTCCAAACAGGTATTCTGCTATATACCCTGACCTGGATGGCCTAGGCTAGTCCATTCTCGTTAGATCTTGGAATCTAGGCAGAGTCGGCGCTAGTTAGTACTTGGATGGGAGACCACCAAGGAAGTCCAGGGTTGCTACGCAGAGGCAGGCCATGGCAAACCCACCTCTGTTCATCTCTTGCCTTGAAAACCCTACATAAGTCAGCTAATGGGACTTTACACTTCCATTCCGCTGCATGCCGAATATTCTCTGGCCCTCCCTTCTAAGAGTTTCGGACAGTCTGGAAGTCAAGTTAAAGGGATCCTATGGGAAGGGGACAATAGCGTCACCTGCTCACGCAGCATAGAGGCAGCGTCACCCTGGCAATGAATCATATCACAAAACCTTGTGGTTCAGATGTAGAGAGTAGATGTGCGTGGGCGCGGGGGCCGGGTTCGAATGCTTTCGTTCATGTTGGGAAGCCAAGACGAAGAGGTAAGTTTGCCTTTCGGAGGATACTTTGTGAGCGAACATTCGCCCCGGATCTGCAGCTTTGAAAAATAAGTGAGCGCAACTCCCCTCAAAATAAGAACTGCCGTCATTTCTGGAAAACGTACTTAGCAGCATTCATTTAATTACAATGTGCTGCAGGTAGCCTTGGCTTCCATAGCAGTAATTTGAAATGGAAGGTTATGAAGCCGAAGCGACTCCCGGTTGTAAACAGAAAGCCCTTCTCCTTCTCGCTTGCTCTCTCACTCTCTGTCCTTTTATTGAAAAGGGTTTTCTTTAATAACAGTATGTCACAACTGGGGAGAACGTGCAAAGAGCAGAGACCCGAGCAGCAACACTCGTAACTATGAGGGATATGAGGAAGCCGGATTACATGGGACCAATGCTCCCTCTAAGCCAGGGGTGTCAAACATGCAGCCTGGGGGCTGGATCAGGCCCCCAGAGGGCTTCTATCAGGCCCGCAGTGGAACTGGCTGTCTTCTGCTTCTTCTAGTTCTGCTGCTGCTGTGTCATCGTAGGTTTGCAGCTTAGAGGTACACACCTGAACAGCATACTCCGGATTGCAACAGCACAGACATTTTGATGCAACAATTCAGAGCAAGAGGTGTCAGTTATCAGACACTGTTAAATAAACAAAGTATTGCAAGAGTGCTAATGTTTTAAGCATGTTTTTTAAGTTAAAAAAACACCTTTGTGTTTGTGTCCTTTATAAAGTTTATATCTCCGCTACCTGGCATTACATTTAATGACACACATGGCCCAGCCCAACAAGGTCTCATTTATGTCCGATCCGGCCCTCATAACAAATGAGTTCGACACCCCTGCTCTAAGCTGTGGAGTCTTGTGAGCAAAAATTCCATGTTGTGAGCTACTGGCATTAAAGTTGTGAGCGAGCGAGTTGGCTGCTGCATAAATCAGTTTCCTCTGGAGCCATCCTTCCTGAGCTAAGAAAAAAATGCAAGAGCCGGAGGCTAAAAACGGTGAGCTAGCTCACACTAACTCAGCTTAGAGGGAACACTGCTTGGGACTAAAAAGCTAACGCAGACCACGGCTGGGGAAGCCAAAGGACAGAAGAAACTGGAATTATGAAATGATTTCTAATGAAGGGAGAGGCCTTAGAACATAAGAGACGCCAATGTTAGATCAGGCCAAAGGCCCATCCAGTCCAACACTCTTTATCACACAGTGGCCAGAAATACCAGTGCCATCAGGAGGTCCACCAATGGGGCCAGGACATTAGAAGCCCTCCCACTGTTGCCCCCTCCCCAGCACCAAGAAGACAGAGCATCACTTGCCCCAGAGCCCCTATCTATCCCTTGTGGCTAATAGCCACCGATGGACCTCTGCTCCACATGCTTAACTAATTCCCTCTTGAAGCCAACATAAGAGAAGCCAATGTTGGATCAGGCCAAAGGCCCATCCAGTCCAACACTCTTTATCACACAGTGGCCAGAAATACCAGTGCCATCAGGAGGTCCACCAATGGGGCCAGGACATTAGAAGCCCTCCCACTGTTGCCCCCTCCCCAGCACCAAGAAGACAGAGCATCACTTGCCCCAGAGCCCCTATCTATACCTTGTGGCTAATAGCCACTGATGGACCTCTGCCTTTGTACTAAGGGGGAGTGGCTTTGTCGTGTGCGTAAAGCGCCGTCAAGTAGCAGCTGACTTACGGTGACCCCACAGGGCAGGGGGTGGCCAAACTGCAGCTTGGGAGCCGCATGGGGCTCTTTCACACAGTCTAATTTAATGTTAATAAAAAGCAAATTTGCATATTTCCCAATAAAACACGTGTGTAATATTTGTCCGTGTCTTGCGGCTCTCAAACATCTGACTCTTATTCTGTGTGGCTTGTTCTGTTAAGTGAGTTTGGCCACTCCTGCCGTAGGGTTCCCAAGGCAAGAGAACAAACAGAGATGGTTTGCTATCGCCTGCCTCCAAGTCGTGACCACGGACTTCCTTGGCAGTCTCCCATCCAAGCACTAACCAGGAAACTCCCTACTTAGCTTCTGAGATCTGACGAGACCAAGCTAGCCTGGGCCATTCAGGTCAAGGCAAGAGTCAAACAGAGGTCATTTGCCATTGCCTGCCTCTGCATAGCGACCCTGGACTTCCTTGGCGGACTCCCATCCAAGTCCTAACCGGGGCCGACCCTGCTTAGCTTCCGAGAACTGACCAGATCAGGCTAGGCTGGACTATCAAGGTCAGGGTGTGGCGATGTTACCTTCCCAGAAAAAAAAGAAGCATTTCCTTCCCCACTGGGCGTGATTAACTTGTGGAATTCACTGCCACTGGATGTAGTGGTGGCTTGAAAAGACAAATTCGGGGAGGAAAATAGACCTGCCTTCCCCCCCCCCACCCCGCCCAGACTGCTGGTATTCCAAGGAGGTCTCCCATTCCAAAGTCGACCCTGCTTAGCTTCCGAGACAGGGCTTGCCTGGGCTATCCAGGTCAGGACGTCCGCCACGACTTCCGACAAAGTTCATCTGCAAAGCCGTCAGTTCTGGTCTGTGAGTCAGGGGGCGGGGTGTCGGTTGTTATTTTTTTTTTTAAGAAAACAACCTAGTTCCCCCCCACCCCTCCTCATCTGTAGTTGGTCTGCCCAGGATTTGCCCGTGTTCGGTTAAAATAACCAAGACGGCTTTAATCAAGCCAGGCAGCGTAGCTGGCCTTCGTAAGGTTAGCACGACTGCTTCTCTCTTTTTTTTTTTGCCATCGGTTCACAGCAGACTTAGGGTGACCCCGTTGGGTTTTCGAGGCAAGAGATGTTCGGCTTGCCACTGCCTGCCTCCACGTCGCGACCCTGGTCTTCCCTGGAGATTCCCCATCCAAATACTAGGCAGGGTTGACCCCGCTGAGCTTCCAAGATCCGAGGAGACTGGACTAGCTGGGTCATCCGGGTCAGAGCCAAAACCCGCTCACGACGATATTAGTAATGACACAAAGGGATGGCACAAATCTTCCTTTGATGTGGGAGTAAGTTTGTCGGCAGCTGTTCCGAATCGCCGCCAAATGGCGACGTGCCCCAAGTGCCACCAAGTGGCAGATGTCCTAAACAGCCGCTGAGCCCTTCTTTTCGGAATTAAGTTAATACCTGATTTATAAAGACAGGAAACGAGAGTCCTCTACTTAGCCTAAAATAGAGGTGAGGAACTGGCAGCCCGTAAACTCCCTCTAGCCCCTCCCCATCCCGGCCATGACCTAGAAATATTTATCATCCTTCCGGGGAGGGGTGGAGAGCCGCCGGACAGCCTGGGTGGGCCGAGTTACCTCAGAGTCTAGGAACCGTCCGGGAAATGCAGCTGGCCACACAGGGACGGCTCGATATAGATCCGGGAGTTCCCGGTTCTAGTCTCAGCAGCTGCTAATAAGCCAAACCACCGCCAAGGAAACGTATGTCAGCCGATGGACTGAGGACTCCACCAAGGAATTCTCGGCACCCTCCTGAAGCTACGGCCTTCAGGTTTCTCTGGGGGGAAGGAATCATAACGAATGAAGCAGTTTGACAGTGGGTTAGATTTCTGGTGTCATTCAAGACGTTTCGGCCAGGTCCATAAAGCCTTCCAGTTTACGCATTTGTACTTTTATGTGCCTCGGTGGACCCCCTTGGGAGGTCTGCAGCTGACGAAAATACAACGAACGTGCCAACTTTTAAATCCAGCAAAAGACTGAGGGTGGAACGTGACACGTTTAATATATATCGTGTCCCTGACCTCGTTGGCCCAGGCTGGCACAATCTGTCAGATCTCAGAAGCGAAGCGGGATCGGCCTTAGTTAGTACTTGGATGGGAGACCACCAAGGAAGTCCAGGGTTGCTATGCAGAGGCAGGCAATGGCAAGCCACCTCTGAGCATCTCTTTCCTTGACCTGACTGGCCCAAGCTAGCCTGATCTCGTCAGATCTTAGAATCTAAGCAGAGTCGGCCCCGGTTTGTATTTGGATGGGAGACCACCAAGGAAGTCCAGGGTTGCTATGCAGAGGCAGGCAACGGCAAACGACCTCTGTTTGACTCTTGCCTTGACCTGAATGGCCCAAGCTAGCCTGATCTCGTCAGATCTTAGAAGCTAAGTAGAGTCGGTCTTGGTTAGTATTTGGATGGGAGACCACCAAGGAAGTCCAGGGTTGCTATGTAGAGGCAGGCAAGGGCACACCACCTCTGAGCATCTCTTTCCTTGGCCTGACTGGCCCAAGCGAGCCTGATCTCGTCAGATCTTAGAAGCTAAGCAGAGTCGGTCTTGGTTAGTATTTGGATGGGAGACCACCAAGGAAGTCCAGGGTTGCTATGTAGAGGCAGGCAAGGGCAAACCACCTCTGCTCATCTCTTGCCTTGAAAACCTTATGGTGTCACTGTAAGTCAGCTGCCACTCGAGGGCACTTTTCACCACCAATACGCACTGTCCTTGTGAAGGAAAAACAAGAAGTCGAATGCCGTGAACTTGTTTTGGGGGCGGGAGGTGTTTTCCGCTCATCCTTGTGAGGGATCTTTCACACAGCTTCGCAGAGCTCCTCAAAAGTTCTTACATTCAATAACGTCTCCTTCTTCGTTCTGCAGCTGAACCTGAAAGGTGTGAGCGGACCCCGGAACTGTGTCGATGACCTCCGGTCCCAAAATCACCATCTTCTGGGGTTGTGCTGAAAATGGTCAACATGTCTTAGTTTACCTCACAAATGGGGGGGGGGACACCCCGAAGCTAGGACTCTTGTCTTTCAGAAGAAACAACAGGGGTGAATTTATGTGAAGAAAAAATACCCCAGGCTGAACATAGTCGAAAACCCCAGGTGAAAGCCAGCTCCAAATCTGTGTGGGCTCCTGGGTAAGGGATCTCCTGTGGGCCTCTAGGCCAGCCAATGGATTCCCCTCCCCACCCACTACTTATTTACTTTACTTTACTTTAACAGCTCTATCGGCCTAAAGACCACGAGCTGAATCACAATAAAATCCCCTGAGGGGGGAAAAATTCACACAATCATTTTCTATCTATCATTACCCTAGAAACAAATTTCGCAGCTGATAATGGTTACATTAGGATCTGACCCAGCCAGCAAGAATTTCTATTTGCCACCTACGGGCACGTCGGTAACTCCTTGCAAACAAGGAGAAATCAATTTCTTCCTTATATGTGTGGATAGGCTACCCTCGAAAAGACAGTCTTCCGATGCGTCTGGCTGCCCCGATGCGTACGACCACGTCCCGTCAGAATACGGCTCCCCGCCCAAGAAATGTCACATCACTACCACAACCTATCCTGTTTTTATGGATGACATTGTGTGACCCAGGCAGGCCGTTTCCCCACCGCCATGGTTAAATGCAGCCAGAGGTGTGCATTTTGGATTGGCGACAACAGTGCAAGAGAAAACAGAGGGTACAATTCTAAGCACTATTGGGTTCAACGGACATAGAAGGGGTGCGGCTTCACCCTCTAAGCTGTGGCATCTTGTAAGCAAAAATTCTACTTTGTGAGCTGCTGGCATTAAAGTTGTGAGTGAGCCATTTGGCTACTGCATGAAGTAGTTTGCTCTGGCAGCATTCCTCCTGAGCTAAGACAAAAATGTGTGAGCCGGAGGCTAAAAAACTGTGAGCTGGCTCACACTAACTCAACTTAGAGGGAACACTGTGACTCTGTTTAGAATTTCATTATTAAGTCCTGCTTTATCTCCCAGGGCTACAGCCCTGGTTTGTATTGGGCATGCTCAGCAGCTGCTAAAAAGTTCTAATCTTGCTAGGGTAACACACAGTTTGGCCCTGAGACATACCCTCCCCCCAAGGTTCCTGATCCTGACATCCATATCACGTGGGGTGGCCAAACTCCAGATGGGGCCTGGAGATCTCCCAGAATTACAACTGATGTCCAGTTTCAGAGGCTGGCCATGTTCGTCTCTGCAGCAGAGCAGCTAGATTTGACTCCCGTTAACACCTTAGAGTCCAATGAGATTTTTGGGTATAAGCTGTTGAGAGTCAAAGTGAAGGGAATCCTAAAATCCTAAATTGTCAGTGAAGGGAATCCTAAATTCATAGAATCATACAGTTGTAAGGGATCACTAGGGTCATCTAGTCCAACCCCCTGCACAATGCAGGAAATTCACAAATACCTCCCCCCACACACACACCCTGTTCCATGCCAAGAAGAAGAGGAGGAGGAGGCGGAGGAGGAGGAGGAGGAGGAGGAGATTGGATTTATACCCTGCCCTTCACTACCCAAAGGAGTCCCAGAACGGTTTACAAACTCCTTTCCCTTCCCCTCCCCACAACAGACACCCTGTGAGGTAGGTGGGGCTGAGAGCTCTTGACAGAAACTACTCTTTTTTAAGAACAGCTGTGCCAGAACTATGGCTTTCTCAAGGTCATCCAGCAGGTGCAAGTGGAGGAGTGGGGAAATCAAACCCGGTTCTCCCAGATTAGAGTCCGCGCACTTAACCACGACACCAAACTGGCCCAGAAGATGACAAAAAAACTCCCAAGATCCCCAGCCAAATTGGCCTGGAGAAAAATTGCTTCCTGGCCCCAAAGTGGCGATCGGCATTTCCCTAGGCCCATAAGAAAGGGCCACGAGAACTAAGCACTGAGGCCACCCTTCCTGCCCTCCCTCTCGTGATCTGCCCAAGCTTACCGAATCAGCACTGCTGTCAGATGGCCATCTAGCCTCTGTTTGAAAACCTCCAAAGAAAGAACTTTGATTCCCGAAAGCTTATACCTCTAAGGTGCTACTGAAATGATCTCTATGTGACAGAGATAAAGTCTCCTGGAGAAAATGGCTGCTCTGGACGTGGACTTTATGGCACTGTACCCTGCTGAGGCCCCTCCCCTCCCCAAACTGTGCCCTCCCCAGGCTCCACCCCTAATCCCCAGGAATCCCCCAACCTGGAGTCGACAACATTAATATTACACCAGAGATAAAACACATAATAGCGAAAAATAACGTTTAGGGATACACATAGCAGTGTTTTCTATGTCTCAAAAAATTCAGCGACGGAGTGCATGCGTGCTCCGATCAGATGTGCTTGCGAGCCGCTGTGTTTGCACCTGCTGCGTTTGTTTTGCTTCTGATGGGCCTCTCGGTGGCTCATCCAGTACAACTGGCAAACCGGTGGAAGCTCTCCCGGGCCGAATACACAGATATCCCCAACAGGGAGAAAAGGGGACCTTGTTCCTCCGAAATAATAACTGGGAGGGGAAAAATCCCAACACGATTTTTATGTGCGTGGGTGGGTGGTTACGGCCCCTTGTTCCGTTGCATGAACGGATTTCCACCCGCACCCCTGGCCCCAGACGGCCTGCTGGTGCCTGTGCTTTTAAGACTGACACGTCCCGGGCACAAAGGATGCCAACGCCGCGGTCCAAGAGTATTAATCAATAGAGTGAAAGGCGGGGCATTGTGCCGAAGCCTCATTACTAACCCGGTGGCATAATCAAAGTACGTACCCACAGGGTAGCCATTCAGCCACTGCCCGTCATAGATGACACCGGAACAATGGATTATGGAGCCCTGTCCGTTGAATGTGTCATTCCTCCACTGCCCCTTCAAACAGAAGAAGTGGGGGTGGGTGGGGAGAGGAAGCGGGGTGGGGTGGGGAAGAAAGAAGATATGCGTTGGTTTCAAATTTAGACGGCGACACGGGAGACTATAGAAGGAAGGGTTTGATCTGGCCACTCGTAATAGCAGAGCGGGTGGCCCTCGGGGTGGGGGGTGGGGGGCTCTTTAGAAATGCTCTTCCAAAATTGGTGTGAAAAAAAGAAGTCGGAGTGAGACGGCGCGTTGGTGGCGGGGAGCAAACAACAGCCCGGGATTATGTAGTCACTCGGGTATGACCTCGAAATAGAAGGAGTGGGGAGAACCAAAGGGGGGGGGAGGCGGTTTGCTAGAGCAGGCTACCCACCAAGAAACCACATGGCATTGTGGCGAGGACAATGGGGTGCCCTTAAAAGGAGAAAGCGGCCACGTTCTGTCCCCGTCTAATTTTGCAAAGCTTGTAGAGAATGTGGAGTTGGGGAAAGCACGAGTCCCTCCGTCCGGAGTGACCTTGAAAAAGGCTGGGTTTTGCCCGAGGTTCTGGGCGTCAAACAAAAGGGTCCTGACACCCACAGTTGCCTGACACCGGGTCACAGCACCTGGCCGTTGAGCCCAGTGTTGCCTGCTCTGACTGGCAGCGGCAGCTCTCCAGTCTTCTTAGGCAGAGAGAGGGAGGTCAGGAAGGGTTGCCTCAGTGCTTAGCTCTTGGGGCACTTTCTTACACGCCCAGGGAAATGCTGGTCGCCAGGTCAGGGCGGCAACAGTTTCTTAATGTGCCTGGGCACTGAGCTGGAAAGCACATTAACAGCTCAGTGGGCACTTATGCGGAGGCGGGGACCTTCTGCGTGCCAAGCGTGCGCTCTGCCACGAAGCCATGTGCCCCACCCCGTCGTATCGTCAGTCCGTCCACCTCAGCATTGTCCACTCTGGCTTGTAGCAGCTCGATCTGGGAAACGGGGTACGTGGAGAGTAAATAAACAGGGTCTGAGTCAAGGTCACTGCATCGAGAGATGGCAGGGCCAGTACAGGAATGCCAGGCGAATCATGCCAGGATGCAAACGGGGCCAAATCGAGGCAGGAGATTGATTTCCGAGGGGCGGGGGGAGAAGAAGCAACAAGGATTCCATCTGTAGCAGCCATCAAAACAAGCGACTCAGACTCCTGGACCGAGAGCCAACGAAAGCTAGAAATCTGGGCGTGGGAGGTGACCCATCCCTGCCAACGGGCATACGTCATGGAGGGGGGGGGAACCTCCAAAGGTGGTGTGCATTTCACACTAGCGAAAAGTAACACTGCAAGATACGCGGGCCACTGGGAGCTAGAAAAATCCCCCCCTCCCAAAAAAACCCACCTCCATTCCCCAGGCTTTAAAGCCTAAAGCCATCTCGCTCGTGCTCGGCTGCAAATTAAATTTCTCCCCCCCCCCACCGGACCGTCTGCTGGGCTCTTGGCGCACGCTGGCTGACGAGGGATGGCTTGCGCGGAACAAAGTGCTACTATAACGCTAAATTTATCTGAGCCGCCATCAAAATCCCAGATGGATCCGGAGACTCGAATCCTGCCGCTCTCTCTTCTTTACACCCTTAGCAACTAGTCTCCAAAATAGAGGGGGGGGGGAAGAGAGGGGGGGGAGGGAGACAGCAATTATACTGGCAGCTCCAAAACAGGCATCGGGATTGTGTTGCTGCAGCAACTGGGCTCGTTCTGTTCTTTCCATCACTCTTTCGTGAGCGTTCCACGGAAATAATTTCACCGAGAACGTATCCGCGGCAAAGAGGCACGCATTCTGTGCCCCTGCCTTTGTTTTTCTGAGAAAAGGCGCTTCGCCCTCCTCGCAGGTGCTAGGAGCCCGGGGAAGAGACGCCAACTTATTCCGCTCGCTAGTTTACTATAATGACTTATGCTTACTCATTCTACCTTGGACCGAAGAAAGTTTCCCTGCAATTATGGGTCCCCTTCGGGTTACGGCGAGAATGGGGAGGCGGAGAGATTGGCCGGCTCTTGTGCCACGGCAGTGGAATCTTAAGCATTACCCTGTTGAGATCCTATTCGGTTACATGTAATTACGGTGATATTATTGGCCTAAGGCAACCATTCCTCGGCTGGTGGGTGACAGGGGAATAGCGTGTCTGCCCAGCCCTCCTCTTTAGAGTCCCCTCGCTATGGCTCTGCTTCTTCTGGGGGGTGGTCCGATGTTTTCTTGTGAGGCACACAAGGCAAACAGGTGAGGACGAGGATGCCAGTAGCCACAGGAAGCAGGTGACGCTGGGGCTGGCCAGTCGGTAGCAGATATGGGGTTGTAAGTGGTTGGCCTAACTGAGCGATGCTGCCCTCGGGGTTGAGAGACACAGACATCCCTGGAACTGCAAGTGATACATGCCACCAGTGTTCCCTCTAAGCTGAGTTAGTGTGAGCTAGCTCACTGTTTTTTAGTCTCTGGCTCACACCTTTTTGTCTCCGCTCAGGAAGGAGGGCTCCAGAACAAACTAGTTTATGCAGGAGCCAAATTGCTCGCTCACAACGTTAATGCCAGTAGCTCACAAAGTAGAATTTTTGCTCACAAAACTCCACAGCTTAGAGGGAACATAGCATGCCACTGTGGGTCAATGCACTTAACCGTGTTTCGGCACAGCTACATTAACTTAATTCCCCCCTGCCTTGCCAGATAAATGGGCATCAGGCAATCACGTTGGATGGAACCCATCACACTCTGGTGTAATATCTAAACCCCGCAGCCAGTGAGGTAGCAGTTATCTGTAGGAGAAACAGCACTGGACATGCGAACAGTGAAAAATACAGGGGGGCAACATAGAAGCTCAGGCACGAGGGAATATAGTGGAAATAGGTATTAGGAAGCGGCAGGTGATTGGCTCTTTTGGACGACCTGATTCCCAGGATCAGGAGAAGAATTGGATTTATACCCCACCCTTCACTGGGAGTCTTACGGCTTATGATCTCCTTCCCTTCCTCTCCCCACAACAGACACCCCATGAGGAAGGTGGGATGGAGAGGGCTCTGAGAGAACTGCTCTTGAGAGAACAGCTCTGAGAGAACTGTGACTCACCCAAGGTCACACCAGCAGCTGCATGTGGAGTTGGGGAGTAGGGAATCGAACCTGGTTCTCCCAGATTAGAGTCCACCGCTCTTAACCACTACACCAAACTAGAGGATTCTGGTCCATAGCAGCAGAATACGTGAACACATGAAGCTGCCTTCTACCGAGTCAAATCCTTGGCCTATCAAGATCTGTGCTGTCTACTTTGGTTCACAGCAGCTCTCCAGGTGGAGGTCTTTCATGTTACCTCCCATTTGACTCTGTTGGCCGGAGATGCCGGGGATTGAACTAGCTAGTGGGGCTAGCTCCGGAGGCACCAACTCCCATAGGTCCATGACCACGGTCCTTTCCACACTAGACCTTAAATCCTGGTTCGACCCTGTCCATGAACTTACATTCTACACTACACACGAGTTCACCTCTGTAATTATGTCGGGGTATTTTTACATTCTCAAACATGAAATTAAGCAAACTCCGAAGCCTGATGGAAGACAGGAGGGCCTGGCGCGATGTGGTCCATGGGGTCGTGAAGAGTCGGACTTGACTGTGTGACTGAACAACAACAACTTTTACATTCTACACTACACTTGAGTTCACCCCTCTAATTATCTCGGGGTATTTTTTGTTTCCACATTACATTGAGGTCACCCCAGTCAGTTTTGCCCCACACTTGTCCCGGGATGAACAGATGCTGTTATAACCCGGGATAAATGCAAGGTATTGTGTCACGAGTTCAACTCTGATAAAACCAGGGATGAGTTCTAAGTGCGGAAAGGACCCACATTATGCTTGAGTCGGAATCGATTTCAACTCCACCGGGGTGGGGGGGGGGGGGGGGGGGGGGGACGACAGGGACCACACCAGAATGTGTTGTCACTGTTATCGTGCATCATCTGTACACATTAAAAAAAATGGCTGTCCGTATCCTGCCAGCTCTCTCACAGTTACTTGCTGTTTGCATCACTGGCGGCTCAATCTCTCTTCCCCCACCCCCTCCCTGGTACAACGTGGCCGCCTCCGATATCTCCCCCTGGCACACTTGCCTAGGCCAGCCTCTTCTCCCAGATGGCAGGAGGAGTGGGGGTAAAACGTTGCTAAAAGTTGCTTAGCAATGCAACACACGGGGAGAGGGTGGTTTTTTGTGTGTGTGCAAATGCTGACATTCTCGAGAAAGCGTCATCCGCGCTAGTCGCATGCTGCAAAAGGGTGCCGAGCGCGTGAACAGCCGGAGCAACAGAGGGGTCCTCGGGGCGGGAGGGGAGAGGGAAAAGCCACCCACCAGCCAGGAGGGGGAGGGGTGGGAAAAGGGAACCCGCCGCAACCTACGGGGAGCCGACGCTCTCGTGCTGTGGATTTCCAACTAAACCCAACCCGTGCCTTGGTTACCATCTGGTCTTCTCCGGCACCCATTAAATATAGACCAAAGGGCACGTCTGCAACACAGAGGGGTTTCACAGTCGCCCCTTGGCCACAGGAAATCCTGAGGATGGTAGTTCTTCAGGGCAGGGCACTAGGGGTCATGAGTGGAGAAATCTCAGCACCCACGCCAAGCTATCGTTCTCCAGGATTCTTTGGGGAGGGCGGGCTGGAGCAGTTAAGTTGATACAAAACCTTGATACCTTTATGGCAGGGGTGGCCAGACTTTGGCTATTGTGCGGCTCCCAGCAAGGCGGCTGGGGAAGCTAAATATCACTAGCAAACAAATATCATTGGACAAATAAATATCATCATCAATACCTGCTTTTACCGCTTTTGTTATTACTTTTGGCAGTCTCATTTAATGTTAATAAAAAGCGAATTTGCCTATTTCCCAGGAAAAAACGTGCAGTATTTGTTCATGTCTTGTGGCTCTCAGTTTGGTGTAGTGGTTAAGTGCGCGGACTCTAATCTGGGAGAACCGGGATTGATTCCCCACTCCTCCACTTGCACCGGCTGGATGACCTTGGGCAGGCCG